ATAAACACAGCTTCTGGAAGAACAATCTCATACAGGAAACAGACATAGTAAATGCGGGAAGGGAAAATAATGGCTGGTTATGACAAATAACATGACGAAAGAAAGACCGACGGAAGATTGCGGACAAGAAGAAACCATCGTAAATATCACATTGGCGACTCAGGAAATAGAATCGAAAGTTTGTTCGTAGAAAGAACGAGCTGGAACCGCAGGGGATAAGAATCATCGAGGTACAAAAGATTGGTATCTTCATCATTAACAAAAACATAACCAAGCATAAAGGTCAAAGATCGTGGCTGCTCGTGAGACGCATCATTCAGATGATTTGAAGGTAGTTACTCGGCACCAGACCTGTGCGGCTTCGAGTAGTGGTAATCTCGGCTTCCCACCAGCCATCGTCCTGAAGCCGAATAACAGACAGGACGTCGCCTTTGGCAAATCCTAGCTCTTCGGGTATGGCGGCGGTATAGCTGTACAGTGCGCGTGCTACGGAAAAGATGAAAGTTAGCACAGCTGTCTGCTGTCGACTGGAGACAGGTCTGAGTGCTCTGGGCACTTCACTACTTACCAAAATGTAGAATTGGACGTCCGTCCCGGCTAAACTGCCTGCTGGGGTCGGCGACAGCCACAGTCCTGCTCCGGGATCTGCCTCCCTGGCTACCACCATCGCCGTAATATGACATAGGCCGACCAGAGTCCCTGCCCCGAGAGCCGTAGCTGTCATAACTGGTGCCGTACATATCCCCACTACTACCGCCAGACAGTTGCAACTCCATACCACCGGCGCTGGAAGGCCTGGTCTGCTGTCTGAATTGTGGCTGAGGAGAGACAGCTCGTGCCGCCGCCGGGTTTGGAGAGCTTCGCCTAGGAAATTCACGCGGGGATGGTGCTGCGTCAACAGGTCGCTGAGGAGGAGTAGAAACCGAGGGCGATTGGCTATAGCGGCTCCTGACACTGTTTGTCTGATACGTACTCGGGCTTGGACTCGCGCCCCTACTGTAGTGGCTCGTCCGGGTCTCCACACGAGCAGGCGCAACCTGAGGGCTGACTGGCTGTGGACTGATCACTTGAGGACTTGAAACTTGTGGGCTGGCACTGCGTCTCGGAACAGGTGACTTCGCTCGAGGAATTTCCTGTTTCGCTCGAGGAACTTCTGCGCTGTTTCTGCTTGCCAAGGCTGGAGCATTACCACTTCCCCTGAGCATACTCTGGGTCTGGCCAGTGTATTTCTGCGTCGTTTTCTGCATCTGCGCAGAAGTAAATGCGGGCTGCGGCGCATCAAGTCTCTTGATCGACGTATCATTGTATGCAGGAGGGGGAGTCGCCACAGGTGCATCGCTGTAATTGGAAGAAGGAGCGGACGGCACAGGTGTGGCAATGCCATGATACCTGTCGGCGGACACTCTAGTCATAGACTGCTTTCCACCGCCTTTCAAATCTGCGAGAGCACGGGCGATAGGGTCAAGCTCCTCCTCTCCAGCCTTGGCCGTTTGAGCAGCCTTCTTGGATGTGACCTTGTCTGGGGAAGCGACATCAAAAACGTTGTTCCCAACATTAAGTTGGAAATTCGCCCTGGGGTCTACTGGCTCAGGACTTTCGATCGGCCGATCATTGTCAGAGACAGGCGCTGGCGGTGGCTGAGGCTGAGGTGCCTTGACTGGAGTGACCTGTTTTGTGGGAGACTCCCATGTGCTTCGAGTAGGAGCGTGCGATGAGCCAGAATTACGGTCCTTATCATGGCGGCTCTTACGGCGGAAGGGGCTGTTGCTAAAGAAAGCACTTCTTCTCTTCTGGATCTGCTTGTCTCCACCGAGACCTGGGAGCGCAACCCCGTTGGTAGGCTTCGTTGGAGATTGCTTGGCGCTGGGAGGCTCCTGGCTGGACACTGATGTTGGGTTAGAGATCTCACTTTGCGAATCACGGCTCGAAGGCCGATAAGCGCTGTTGCTTCCCGAGCTACGGTCTGAAGGGGGCCCAGTGCGGCAGAACATGGTCATTCCGTCCGTCGGATACGCATTGTGCGGCACCGCCGCAATCTCCCCGTGTTGGTTAGGGTCGTAGTTTGGTGGAAGATGGCCTCCCCGACGAAGGTCCAGAGGGGCCGGCGGTTGCGTTGGTTTTTGCGGAGTGACTGTAGCTTCCCTGCTGGCAGGCGTTGCAGGGCTATTGTGACCCGGGTTAGCTGCCAGTTCTGACCGCGGCTCATGATGAGATTCATAAGTTGACGGTTGCGGAGAGGAACTGCGGAATGCTGGGTTGATAGTACGCTGAAACTGGGCAACAGAAAATCCATCTTCTTCAGACAGCTCTGAGCTTGTGTCGGTCACATCGCCCCGGGCAAAGTTGATGAACTTGGGCGGATCCGGAATGTCTTGTCCGGTCCCTCTTTCCTTGATGAAAGAGACAATGTCTTTCTCAACTTCGCAATTTTCCAACGAGAGACGAATCTTCTCACACGACTGATCACGATGTCAGCTCCGATCATCTCAATGAGCAGGTTCATAACATACAGCGTCGTCACTAACGCACACAGTTGATGCGATATTTGCGTACGCCCAAAGACTGCTCTTGGTGAAATCGATTCGTTCCTCTTCGAGATCTTGAAATTTCTGATAGTCGATTAGCATCATTTCTCGGTAAACGTGTTCAGAGCAGGACCTACATCACAGGCTGCCTTCCACTCCTTATTCCAACGACCGGTAGTCTCTTCGAGGATCTTGACAGCGGCCTCGTATTCGCTGCTGCTGGTTGCAAGCTGGATTTGTGTCTTTTCAAGCTTGGCCTTGTTTTTACGCTCCTCCTGTCCCATTACCATATGTCCTTGTGCGAGATAACCCTTAATCCTCAAACAATCCTGCTCGTATCGGTCTCGCGTCTAGGGCCATGTCAATCAGTGTCCATTTACAATGCCATTATTATGAAAGACCGAGCATTGCCGCACCTTGTTCACCGTTTGGGTCTGTTGTATCTTGGTCTTGAGAAGGCGCTCAATTCCTGTCTGAATGATCTTCCTTCTCTCCTTCGATCCGCCTGCAAAAGCAATCAATGGCTCCTCAAGTTCTCGCTTCATCTGTGCTGCAATTGCGGCGTGGGACTTGGCTATCGATTCCGTCTCACCACGGACAACATCGAACGACGACCGCAGAGAGCCTGTTTCGTGTGTTCCTAGAGGCTTGCGGCAAAGTGCCATAAGCTTTCGTGAATATTCATCTTCGATCGCGGCGCGGACTGAACGGTTCGTTAGAAGTTAGATAAGGTAGCATCTGCACTAGATCTCTAACGTACTGTTGTAGAATGTCTTGAGCTCATCACAAGTCACTTTCGCGCCATGCATGCGATCTAGCATAGGCCCAACACCAGCATCCTCTTTGCCCCAAAAATTGTTCGCAACTAGGTAACAAAGTAGTTAGCGTCCGATGGCATCAATGATGAGACTACAAGGCGGATCATACAGGATAGGGACACCGATGGAGGCTCTGCAACTGTTCCCGGCATGTTTGCAGACACTAGTCCGTCGAGTGTAACGATTCACTGCTAGGTCTCTTTCATTCAAGCCCTCAAGAAGGGGTGGGACCGGAAATATAGTCGTAAAGATGGATATCGCAATGCACGAGATAAGATATCAGACACCACGAGGAGATAAAACAACACCACAATAGTAACCGACGCGAAAAGACAAAACCCAAATACTAATGATGACAAAAAGAACAAGGCAGAAAAGACCTTGTGAAGAAATTGGAAGAACTGCTCAGTTGAGCTGATCTGGATGAGTTGATCATATTCGTTGCATCCAGATCGACAAGTGCTGGAAGGTCGCTATGTTTACTACTCCACGTCTCTCGGGGCAACCGGCGGCTCATGCAGCCCAACCATGATGGCTTGAGTCAGGTGTCTCTGAGACTCTCATATGAGTAACAAGGGGCCAATTAGCCGCCCCAGAGAGTCTGATTGGTGCCTTTTACTACCTTACTTTACTAGGTAGCATATGAGAGTGTGAAAAACGTGCAGAGTGGGATCTCCCTGGCATAGGTTCTTTTCTACAATATCCCCTGCATTTCGAGTCTTCCTCACCATTCTGTTGACCAGACTGGCCCATGAAAAGCCGACAAATGGACTGGCCGACTTTCTTATTGACCATAAATGTAAATGGACGATTGAACTTGTGTTCGATGATTGCTTCCACGAGTGTGGATGAGACTCATGGGCTCATAACGAGATCAGCTTGGTGTCACGTGTGATCCACGGGCGAGATAACCATGGTGTATTTTGAGGAGACATTTCCCAAACTCTTTTGACTCTCATAGAACAGTGTCTCAACTTAGTTATGGGAGATTCCAATTTACCTGCACATGAAGCAGTATCGCGCTACTATCGACCTACTTGATAATACTCCATACAGAAGTACTTCTGGCTGATAAAGAAACCAGTAAGCCAAATCCAGTTGGCTGACTCAGATATTACATCAGCAATCCCCAAGAAGCAGCCACATGTGTCACGTGCCCTCTCGGAAGCGCATTCATTGTGGGGTGTTGCAGAAGGGATGTTAGGACGACCCCGAATCGTTTGTAATTTCGATCATGACCTGTCTGGCGTGAGAGTCTTCTCTTAATCTGCTTACCAGACTACCAGTAGTAGCATCGGAAGTTTCTGAGGCTATTGTTCTTGTAATGTTGCCTAGTTTGCTTTGAGCCCTAGATAGTGGTAAAGAGCTTCAGCCTCCTGTGGCCAAGCTAGTGTACCTCAGGCATCTCCACCTAACCGTCCACTCAACCTCGCTTTCTTTGCCCGTCACTAACTCTCTATTGGAACTTCCAACCTGTGCCACAAAGCGACACCTTTTCCATTCACCTCTGTCTTGCCTACTCTGCCAGCGCAAGATATTTGTCCTTCACAAAATACGCCTTTGATATCAATATACTCGATTTTATAGATCCTGGTCGTCGTCAAGAATAAAAAATTTCTGTTGCTCGCCTTACAGATCAAATGATCGCGTCTCCTAGATGACCTTCCCTCCCCCTCCCCCTTCCTCCCAATCGTCGATTGCTTCTGGCACCGATAAATTGTCTTCGAACAGGGCGGCAAGGTCACAGCAATCTGCTTGGGGTCTCTCCGCGTCCCAGTCTAGCATTCGCCGTGGGTTGACTCCGCTTGCGACCAACAACCTTTCATCGTCATCGTCGATTCCGTCTGCGAATTCCCGAGGACCAGTTCAGTCGAGTAGTCCCGCTCCAGGTGGCTCGACCTCTTCCCCTTTGACTTCCTCCTTCTCCGCCGTTCTGAGTTCCGCAAGGGGTCTTCCTGGCGGACGGAGCGTACCCTCACCTGCCTCAACACCGTCACCTTTTGCCGCCTTCCAATCTGGCTCGCAACAGCATCAGCAACCCGGGCAGTCACTCACGTCTCCTAAATTCAGGGCTCACACCCCGTCGTCACATCTGGCTTCCGCAGCAGGCTCTATCGCGGGTGGTGGAGGCTCCGGGGGAGGCGGTGGTGGGACGGGACCTTCCAGAGGCGGCACCTTCTCGCCGTTATTGTCCGGCAACACCGTGAATTCACCCACTGGGTTTCCCTCTGACAAACCGGGCTCAGCAGCTTCCGGAGCTGCAGCTCACGCAAGCCAGTCCTCATTGACTAAGATATCCATTGCTCAAGTCTTCCTTCTTCTAGACTCTATCACGGAGAAAGAAGGTCGAGAGAAGTGGGAAACCAAAGCCGCTCAGATACACAAGGTAGGACAGCCCACCACGCGTTGCCTTGATTTCGTACAAATCTGACATGGAGTAACGTTCTGTAGCTTGTCGAATCGAACGGAATGGAGGTCTTCTCGAAGTATTTCCGGCGTCTTCTGACGGGCAACGCCCCTCAGATCTTTCCAGGGGTCAACAAGTCTGTGGAAAATGCTGGGAATTATCCTTTGTTGGTCCAAGAGATGCAGAAAGTCACTCAAGACATAGAGCAGGCCCAGAAAATCGCAGAAACGGTTGATACCTCGGAAGGAGATATATTCCGCGATTTCGATCTTTCTACCTTCCTCGATCATTTCAAGCTGGACCCTGTCGCTAAGGTAGCCCTTGCACTGGCCTTCAAAACCGCCAATAAGTCGGACTTGCGTGCGAAAGGTTTGTGCTCTCCCCGGAACGTCTTTGATCAGCGGTCACCATCTAACATGTGCCATCACTTTTAGCCGATGCAATTCTTTCGAACTCCATCACTCCTTTCCTTCAAAGTTTGGCGACGCCGTCTGAGGCAACTAAAGATTTCAAAATCTCGTTCATTGGGATGACGATTGAGCGTTTCATCCTCTACCCTCCACGCAACTTCACCGACGATGTGAAAGCCAAATTGGTGTACGCAGCGAATCTACGCTACCAGAAATTAGGCGTGGAGATGCCATTCGAGGTCGCCTCTGCTCTACAAATGTTCAATTTCCTAAATCCAAGGTACACATTGGTCCGCCAGCTCCACTCCAAGGGACCCCGAGCCACGTCGAACGTCGACGCCGTGAATGAGGCAGTCAATGCAGCCGGACCTGATGGCTGGAACGAAGAGCATATTGCCAGCGCCCTACTGTTCCTGGTTCTTTCTCAGTATTGGCAGGATTTCTCCTTGGAGACTTTCCTCCGAGCGATCAAGTCACATTACGGTGACAGGCAGATTAATTGGTCTTTCATTTTCCGAAACTTTGATCGCGAAGGCCTGCGACTTGACTCGAAGCAGTTCGCCAAACTCTATTCGGTCCTCCTGTCGGCGGCTGCGGATGATTCCACTTTGGACATCCAGAAGCTTTGGGGCGGCGATTGGGAACATCGGGACACCCAGATGTCTTTCTTGACGGCTTTCATTGTTTCCCGGACAGATGTCTCTCAGATTCCCAATCTTCGAGCTACCTTCCCAGCGGATTTCTTCGCTGACGGTCCCGAGCTCGTTCGCTTGCAAGGGGAGCGGGCAGCGAAGTCTCCGCTTCGTTCTCTGGACGCTATGAAAGCCATCTTTGACATTGCTTTGTTCTCTCAGGCTGCCTGGGCAGCTGCGGAAAGTCAACTACTCATCAAGGCTGTTGTCCAGTATGATCTTCCTGTCTTTCTGTGCTCAGCTCTGGCTCTTCCTCAGCCCTGGACCAGCGTTCAGCAAAGCTTCGTTCTCCGGACGCTCGTTGTCTTTATCTTAAAACAAGAAGAGGGATATCAGCTTGCGCTTCATGGAGCTTGGCGCCAGGACCGCCAGTGGGTAGCTGAGCAGCTGTTCACCACGTTTACTCAAGACCCAACGTCAACAGCCGCAATCTACGAGCATGCAGTCGCATTTGATTGGCTGGACTACTTGCTTGGATACACAAACGGTCTTGCTATGGATCTGGCTTGCTATGCTCATCGGAAGGGACCCTTTGACCTCGAGCAATGGATTCGCAATGCGGCTCAGAAAGGACCAATGGATATGGGTAACTTGTTGTCTAAATACCTCAGGATTAAGGCAGAAGACGAATTGCATGTCCAAAGGAAGGAACAACCTGCTCCTCAGATGGTCAGTCTTTCTGTGAAGACTGTCTACACTTTGTTGTCTGTTTTGGAGGAATATGTTGGCGACCGTGAAAATCTCACGCCGGTGCAGCGAATCTGCATCCAGACCTATCCCCGGCTTATCAATTATGGCGAAGGTTTTGACGATATCATCGACGCCAATGGCGAAAACGGCAATGCGTTACCTGAAGCTATTGACAAACAGATGCAGGAGCTTTTCGGCAAGATGTATCACGAAGAACTCTCCTTGCGGGAAATATTGGAGTTGATGCGACGATACAAAACATCTCGCGATCCGGCTGAACAAGATCTTTTTGCGTGCATGGTTCATGGACTCATCGACGAGTACCATTGCTACCATGAATATCCCTTGGAAGCACTCACAAAGACAGCTGTGATGTTTGGTGGTATCATCAACTTCCGGCTCGTCGACGGAATCACGCTGAAAGTTGGCCTGGGCATGATTCTCGAGGCAGTGCGAGAACATGACGTCCACGATCCCATGTACAAGTTCGGCGTGGAGGCCATTGAGCAGCTGATTAGTCGTCTCCCCGAGTGGGCTGGCTTTTGTCACCTCCTGCTTCAAATTCCGAGTTTGCAGGGCACGCCCATTTTCCAGAAGGCTGAAGAAGTGCTACGCGAGCAGGGAAGTCAAGTGCGAGATTCTGATAGTGGCAGAATCGAGAATGTTGCCGGTCCGTCCGTAGCCAACGGTACTCTCGATGAGACCGCACCAGACGGGCCCACCCGAAAGTTCCTCTCTATCCATGTTGACCCACCTTTACGACCTGAGATTTACCATGATCCGGACGAGGAGGTGCAGGACAAGATACTGTTCGTCCTAAACAATGTGTCGGAGCAAAATATTGAGGAGAAGCTGCACGACCTCACAGATGTACTGCGAGACCAGCATCATCAGTGGTTCGCATCGTACTTGGTGGAAGAACGGGCGAAATTGCAGCCAAATTTCCAGCAACTCTATCTCGATCTTCTTGACCGCATCAACGACAAGATTCTTTGGGCTGAAGTTCTGAGAGAAACATACTCGAGCGTGTGCAAGCTGTTGAATGCAGAGGGGACGATTAACTCGTCCACAGATCGCGGCCATCTCAAAAATCTCGGTTCTTGGCTCGGTTCATTGACCATAGCAAAAGACAAGCCTATAAAGCACAAGGATATATACTTCAAGGGTCTTCTTCTGGAAGGCTATGACAGTCAGCGTCTGACCATCGTGATCCCATTCACTTGCAAAGTGCTGGTCCAGGCGACAAAATCCACTGTCTTCAAGCCGCCAAACCCATGGTTGATGGATATTCTCGCTCTTCTGCTGGAACTCTACCACTTTGCTGAACTAAAGTTGAATCTCAAATTCGAGATTGAAGTATTGTGCAAAGATCTCGAACTGGATCATAAGACAATTGAGCCCTCCGTCGTTATCCGGGATCGCTCAGCTCACATCGAGGATGCGCTGTCGACAGCAAATATTCCTGAAGGCCTCGAAGCCTTCGAAGACATGGCTCTCACCGGTATCAACCAGGGAATGCGGACAGAGAGGTTGTCTCCCGCCGCGATCATGTCCACTCTTCCAAGCTTAGACAAAATTCTTGTTCTCCCATCTTCAGCAAGCAGCATGGTTGACCCGAACGTCCTCAGGCAAATTGTCCACACGGCTGTTGAACGCGCTATCGCGGAGATAATCACTCCAGTCGTAGAACGCTCCGTCACGATTGCATCAATTTCAACTGTACAGCTGGTATCCAAGGACTTTGCCATGGAGCCTGACGAGGAGAAGGTGCGACATGCCGCTGGCAATATGGTGCGACAGCTTGCTGGAAGTCTTGCCCTGGTGACTTGCAAGGAGCCGCTGAAGGTTAGCATGACAAACTATATCAGAATGATTCAGCAAGAGTACTCCGAGCAGCCCATGCCTGAAGGCTTGATTTTGATGTGTGTCAATGACAACCTTGATGCCGCCTGCGGAATAGTCGAGAAGGCGGCGGAGGACAAGTCTCTGCCTGAGATTGAAAAGGTTATTGAACCACAGTTGGAAGCACGCCGGCGTCATCGGGCTGCCCGACCTAATGAACCTTTCATCGACCCGTCGATGAATCGCTGGGGCTTGTTCATTCCTGAACCCTACCGGCAAGCCCCAGGTGGCCTGAACAAGGAGCAGCTGGCCATTTATGAAGAGTTTGCCCGTCAATCTCGCGGTCCAGCAGCAACTCATGTTCAGAACGTATCGACTGATTCCGGTCGGCAACTGGCAGATGTTCTCCAGGACTCGTATGCGCAGATTCCTAACCTCTCTACGCCTGCGGAACAGCCAGCTGTACCTCATAGGACTCCGCAGGCTCAGCAAGACACGCGTCTGCAGCAAACCGGGCTCGTGGGCCCACAACCGCAACTGAATGGCTTTCTGGAGGCGCCAACACCTCGCGACAAAGTCGACAGCATAGTTTCCGATCTTCAGCAAGCAGCTCGCAATGCACCTGAGGAGCGCGTGAAGGACCTTGGCAGAGATAGTGCTGTGTTGCAGGAGTACAACCAGGCTTTACGTACTATCCTTACGTCTCCAAGCGGCGAAGAGCTGGCAAGATTAACATGTCTGAAGATCTGCACCACGTTGTATTCTCAGTCCCCGAGTAACCTTGAGATCGAGGTACTCGTGCATTTGCTTGCGAAGTTGTGCGATATGTCCTCACTCGTCGCAAGATATACCTGGGTTGTCTTGTCGGAGGTAGATGACGAGCATATATTCAATGTCCCAGTTACAGTGGCACTCATAGATGCTGGACTGCTGGACATTCGCCGCGTCGATATGAGTCTCACTAGGCTTATCTGTCAGAAGAACACGGGTGCACTCGAAATTCTGGCCAATCTGATGGACCGAGTGCTCTTCAACGAAGAGCCCTCCGCATTGCGGTCTGATTTCTCTGGCAGTCTCGAAGCGATGAGCCAATGGCTTGCAGAAGACGCAAATCTTGCTCCTGCGAATGAAATTATCCGCAAACTACGCGAGTCGGGTATCCCTGAAGTCGTCAATCCTCTTCTCAGCGACAAAGCGCGAGCGAAGCGGGATCAGATGGAGTACATCTTCAGCGAGTGGATTGGTATTTACAAGGCCCCCGGCGCCACTGACCGTACCTATCATTCCTTCCTTAAGGACCTGCACCAAAGGCAAGTCATGGATAATCAAGAGGACTCTGCTTTGTTCTTCCGTCTCAGCATTGATATCTCTGTCGCGATGTTCGAGCATGAATCGCAGAATCCTAACGGTAGCCTTGACGAGGCTTTCCTCTATATCGATGCGCTTGCGAAATTGGTCATTCTGCTAGTCAAATTTCAAGGAGAGAGCGCTGGCTCGGCCAAGACCAGCAAATCCGTCTACTTCAACTCGATTTTGTCGATGCTCGTGCTGGTGTTAAATCATCACCACGTTATCCGCGGAGAGGCTTTCAACCAGCGCGTTTTTTTCAGACTCTTCTCGAGTATTCTCTGCGAGTATTCTCTGAACGGACTCCAGCAGAGTGATCAGCACCAGGAAATGATGTTTGCTCTTGCCAACAAGTTCCTATCGCTCCAGCCCCAGTACTGCCCCGGCTTTGTCTACGGCTGGCTCTCACTGGTGTCCCACAGATTTTTCATGTCGGGAATGCTGAATATGCCCGAGCGCGCTGGTTGGGGACCCTACTGCGAAATAATGCAGGCTCTCCTCTCTTACATAGGAGAGCAGCTCAAGCCAGCAAACATTTCTTATGTTGCCAAGGACCTGTACAAGGGAGTGCTTCGTATCCTGCTGATCTTGCACCATGACTTCCCCGAGTTTGTGGCCGAAAATCATTTCCAGTTCTGCAATGTCATTCCCGCCCATTGCGCTCAGCTTCGTAATCTTGTTCTGAGCGCATACCCGTCGTCTTTCCACAAGCTCCCAGATCCTTTCAGGGAAGGTCTGAAAGTCGAGCGCCTGGAAGAGATGCGTGAAGCTCCCAAGATTGCCGGCGACATCGCTGCTCCACTACAGCGCGCCAACATCAAAGGTGTTGTCGATAGCTTGCTGCAGAGCAATAACCAATCAGAGGCGTCCATCGAAAAGATTTGCGATGCCATTTACAACCCTGTGAACAAGGATACTGGACTCTTCTACACTCCCATCAATGTCAATGTCGTCCTAGTGAACGCGTTGGTTCTATACATTGGTCAGGATGCTGTTTCGGCCGGTGGAGCCAAAGGTAACACTCGCGCCGCGTTTGACAGCTCGCCTCATTCGGCGCTTCTGGAGAGCCTCGCCAAGGTGTTACGACCTGAGGCGCGCTACTACTTGCTCAGTGCGATGGCGAACCAATTACGCTACCCCAATAGCCATACCTACTTCTTCAGCTTTGCCATTCTTCGTCTCTTCGGCGTGGACAACTCCGAGCAGGATGGATCCGATATCCGTCAGCAGATCATCCGAGTCTTGTTGGAGCGGCTGATTGTCCATCGCCCCCACCCCTGGGGTTTGATCATCACCCTCCAGGAGTTGCTCCAGAACCGAAGCTACACTTTCTTCCACCTTCCTTTCATCCAGGCTGCGCCTGAGGTATGTCACTCTTCGGTTTGATTAGTGCCTTGTGTGTAAAGCTAACGAACCATTGATCTACAGATTGGTCGTCTCTTCGATGCTCTTCTTCAACACATTCAGCAACAAAGCCCTAGGGCAATGCCTTAGGTATCCTGAAAAGGATAAATCGCTTCTCTCGCCATCTCCGATTGATATGAAGCATGTGATGATGCTTCGATGTCCAGCATTCGGCGAAGATGTCGTTTTCTCTCACGGTATACTCGAAATGCCGCTTACGACGTTAGAAATTCGGTGCTTTACTGGGGTGTATGTTTTCTCAAGGACTTTGTTTTCTTTCATTCTGAAACTTGTACTGTTTTGTGTCCATTATCATTCTTACGGTTGGGTTTCTGGGGGTAACTATGCATTTCTACGACATGTCAGCGCAGCATACAGTCACATGGAACCAAATGCTTTGCTTTTGTATTGGTTTGTTTTCATTCTGCTGGATGAGTCTGTTAATTCACACTGCGAATGCAGTGCTTTGTAACGATATGTTTTAAAAAGGGATGGGTAACGGTCTACATCTACTTCATTGTAACAGCTCATGCTTCCACTAGGCCAACGCTGCCATGAATTGATATCAGAACAACTCATTGAAACAAACATCTGGCACGTCAGTTGTGATAATGTGATTGTAAGGGAATAGGCCCACAACTAATGGACTATAGCATCCATCGTAATGGCTGCACATTTGCTTCTGGTTGGGGCGCATAGAAAAGGCCTTTGATGTCCGTGGGGGAAGCATACCTCGGTGACGTCGACGCGAGGGTCGGAGCTCTCTGAAAACACAACTCTCATCACCCGATACCATTCCACCTCAAACCCACACCAAGCTTGGTCGCACCATGTCGGAGCTTGATTATGCGACGGATGAGGACGTGGAGGATGGCAATACCTTTTCCTTTTGGCCTCCGGTAAGGCATCGCTCCACATTTCACTGATTCAACAGCTGATGGTCCGATGACCTCCAGGACGCGCTGGTAGCGCCCTTTCGCGCCCTTGTTTCGAAACAAGCACAGAAAGCCTATCTGGGAACTCTCTTGTTTGTGATAACTGCTATATGCATGTTCTTTGTTTCGTCGGTTGCATATGGGATATTTTACTATTGGTTCATCCCGCAAATTGGGCTTGCGCGCCCAGTGCATCTACAGTTTGGGTAGGTCAACGACGGAGATTGGATTGTCCCATGCAAAAGAAAAATTATCGTTTGATCTCTTGGCTGATTATTGGGATTTCGGTCTGTAGTGATGACCAACCTTGGGGTACCGCTTCCCTTGGGTCGGAGTTGGTCTCTAAGCAAGCGTACGATGTCGCCGTGAAACTCGAAATGCCGCGGACGCCATCCAATCTCGCTGCCGGAAACTTTATGCTAGATCTATCTCTCTTTTCCCGTCCTTCAACATCCGTCACCACTGGCCAGAACACATCCTCGGATCGGATTGTGCACTCGCGCCGCCCGGCTATACTGACGTATACGTCGCCCATGGTGGATACCGCCAGCAAGATGTCTTTCATGCCACTGTATGTACTGGGGTGGCAGCGTGAAGCAGAAACTCTGCGGGTGCCGATGCTTGAAAAGATTGAGTTCTCGCGCGGCTGGCGCAACCTTCCCGCGAGTTTACGCCTTGAAGTCCATAGTAAGGAGCCGATGCAGGTCTACTCGGCTCAGGTGGAATTTCGAGCTAGGTTTACGGGGCTAAGGTACGTCACAGCTGCAGGCAAGGATCCTGGACGTCTTTTGAACTAATAGAGCAATAGATGGGTCATGTACAACTGGAGGATCCTATCGTTCTTGGTCTTCAGCTTCGGCTTCTGGAGTGTCTCCATGATCTCTTCAAGCATTGCGTGGCTTGTCCTGGCTTCGATATGGAGCTCGAAGTCAGTGAATCAGGTAAATATTAAGCGAGAGACACGCGGGAAGACTCCAATCAAGGAGGAATATGATGACGAGGCGGCGGACATTTCTGCTCTTGACTCGCCTTCTGACTCTCACTCTCCGAAGCACCAGCCGACGGGTTGGGTTAAGAAAGAAGAAGACTTTGAAGAGGAGACGAAACGCTCTTATAGCAGCGACACAGACGAAGATAGTCGAGATCGTGGTGGTGGTAGAGGGGCTTGGCCTTCTGAGAGTGGTGCAGGGACTGGCTTAGAGAGCGCAGAGGCGAGGGGCGTCCAGCGGCGCCGTAGCCGTTTATTTAGGGAAGGCCATTCGTAGGCAGGACGTTCGATCTACGTTTGGTTCTAGAGAACTTACATGACATCAAGTCTTTGATACCCAAGTAATTGCGAGCGATGTATATATATCTCCGGAGTGCGGATTCTGAATGTGAAGTCGAACAATTTCGTGGCTATGCTTTGTTCTATCATGAGGGCAGTGTAATAAGCCAACAATAGCGATGAAGTTCTTTGGCCTTCAAGCATTTTCATAGTATACGATGCCATTGATGCAGAGGAAGGCATAGTCACTATCACAGGCCTCGGATGCCAAACTGCATGGGCTGCCCGAAAATGCGGAGTAAAAAGGGCCCACTTTGATCAAGAAAATGCCCCTCCATGTGCATTGCAAACCAGCTCCTCCACCAAACAGTCTCCTTCTGCTGTTATAATCACAATGCACATTTTGGTAAGTCGAACTCTTGCGATTTCTTCAACATGGAGGAACCCACCTCATAGCATGCTCCTCTACCTAGGTAGTCAACGATGACGGTCCTCCGTCGAACAAATCTTCGCCTTACGTCCATTCCCTCGTCCACACTCTTCAGTCCGCCGGTCATGTTGTATCAGTAGTCCTGCCTCATCAACAGCGATCATGGATTGGCAAAGCGCACTTGATCGGTGCCTCTATAAGACCGACCTACTTCCGTCCCGGCAACCTGCACGAAGACAATGGCACTATCCACGACTTTCCCCGCGGCGATGACGACGAGGAGGGAGACGAGTGGCTTCTCATCGACTCCACGCCAGCAAGCTGTGTCCAGATCGGCCTTTTCCACTACTTCCAAGAACGCGGCCCCGTTGACGTGGTCGTGTCGGGTCCCAACTACGGCCGCAATACGACTGCCTTATTCGCTTTGGCGAGCGGCACAGTCGGAGGAGCTTTGGAGGCTGCGCACTGTGGGAAACGCGCCATTGCCCTTTCTTATGCCTTTAGCTCGCGCAACCATGACCCCGTTGTGATCGCTGAAGCATCGGAGCACTCGGTGAAGTTGATTGAATACCTTTGCGAGAACTGGGCGGAGGGAGTGGACCTGTATAACATCAATGTGCCTCTGGAGCCGGGGATGAGCAAGTGCAAGGTGCTATACACCACTATGCTTGACAATAGGTGGACTGGCAGCTGCTTCCAAGCTGTTGATGCAGCGCTCCCGGATGAGACTCCTCAGCTGCAGGAGCAGAGGCTGCGGGACCAGGGTGAACGACTGCGGGAGAAGCCCACTGCCGCTGCAGGAACAGGGCCACGTAGGAAGATGCGGTTCCAGCATAAGCACTTTCAGTGGAACCCTGATTTCACAGATGTGTGGAAGAGCGTGGAGGCGAGTGGACCGGGCAATGATGGTCGCGCTGTGCGCGAGGGAATGACAAGGTGTGTCCTCTCGACCCTGTCTCATATTTTACCCTGTATTGGCTCGTAACTGACTCTTTGGGTCCCAGCGTTACCCCTCTCAAGGCCACTTTCATGCGTACACCAGGCATCCAAGGCGAAATTAAGCTGTGAGTGGACCCTTTTGACGAGCGGATCCGCGTCTAAACAGGTCCAGCTAGATCATGAGCGTGTCGCGTTGTTCGATATACGACCTTGATCATAACCTCCGTGTCTTTTGGCCCCCTTCTAGCGTTCTCCCTGTTTGCTTTGGTTGATGGTTCATGATCGTATTCTAGAAGCATGCATTCTAATCAGCCTAGACTTTGTAGCTCAGATAATGATGAACCTGCATTATATTCCATCGTGGACAGCGACGATCCCTACGTGCAGAGTCTGATGGAACAAGCCTTACAGCGTCGCCTTCGCAAAGGACAGTATCAAATCATATCGAAGCTGTCCGATCTTCCTTCCCCCTCCGCCCCTCTCTTTCAATATCGCGAATACGAACGGCTGGACTTTGAGCATGCGATGGTGAACTCAACTATCTCCTTGGTCAACGCCTATATCATCCGGAAAGCGCTGATTCGCAAGCACTACCTCTCCAACACAGTGGCCAACTGGGTCACCAAGCACCCTAACAGCGTCCTACGGAATCATTTCAAGTTCGCGTACGACTTCGAGCTAGACTACGCCGAGTTCCTCGACGAAGCCCTGCTCGAGGCATACGAGCTCCGCGACAGCCTGGACAGGAACGAAGGCAAGCCGGAGTCAGACAAGGAATGGTGGATTCTGAAAGCAGGAATGAGTGACCGCGGACAAGGCATCCGTCTCTTCAACAGCGAGGATCAACTACGCGAGATATTCGAAGAATGGGAGGAGGACGACTCGGACGATGAAAGCGAATCCGAGAATACCGGTCGACGGGAAAACCAGGACCAGGATGGGAAAGAGGACGGACAAGGCGTCGTCACCTCCCAACTACGCCACTTCATCGCCCAACCCTACATCGACCCTCCCCTCCTTCTACCCTCCTCGTCGAACCGCAAGTTCCACATCCGCACTTATGTGCTGGCTGTCGGCTCATTGAAGGTCTACGTCTACAAGGAGATGCTGGCTCTCTTCGCCGCGAAACCATACTGTCCTCCATGGGAAGACGAAGACGAGGTCATCGATCTCGCCAGACACCTCACAAACACCTGTTTCCAAGAAGGCGGCAGCACCAACGAAGGAAGCGTCCGACGGTTCTGGGATCTTGATCCTCATGTACCCGGATTGAGCCACGACTGGAAAGAGAAGATATTCGACCAGATTTGCGCTGTCGCCGGAGAGGTTTTCGAGGCGGCCGCACGAGGCATGATGGTTCATTTCCAGACCCTGCCAAACGCCTTTGAGCTCTTTGGCGTTGATTTCCTCGTCGACAAGGATGGTGTCCCGTGGCTGCTGGAACTGAATGCTTATCCAGACTTTGGTCAGACTGGTGAAGAGCTGAAGGACCTCGTTGTTGGCCGCCTCTTTGAGGAAACTGTCGAGGTTGCCGTCAAACCTTTCTTCGGTGTGGGTGATTCATCAGTAAAAGGAACAAGTGACTTGAGCCTGGTTGCCGATCTCGAACTGGGCAGAAAAGGTTAAAAAGCAGGGCAGCTACCCCGAAAGCATGGGGTCTCAGTACATACGAAGATCATCTTCATCTAGATCGGATCATATCTCATCATTGATCCATCCGGACACGATCACGGGGTTTTTTTTAGAGGGACCTAATTCTAAAGAAGCGTCATTGATTAACATTATTCGTCTATATATCTCGGTCAAAAGTCAGCCGTATCTTTTGTTGCTTCCTTTTTTTGTAAAGCCTGCCGCTCTGTCCACACTCGGCCAGAAGCACATGGATCAGGTATTAATAGCATAGACTTAGAAATTCAGCCATGGCGAGTGTCACTGGTCTCAGGAGTGATCGATATCAGTAGTCAAGCCGATGCCTGCAGGCTCACTTTTCGTTCCCTTTCTACGACTAATGGCCTCCTTCCTCGACCTTTTCCCTCTCTTTCGTGCTTTCTTCGGGTACGCGATAATGACCCTGTCGCTTGCTTGCTGTGATCCAGTCGTGGATTGACTATTGCCACCTTCAGCTGCATGGTTCCGACGCTTCGTGGATGCGGCAGGCCTGGGACTCTCGTTCTCATCGGTAATGGTGAAGCTTGGAACAGCACTCTTCGCCATCTTTGAGTTGACAGTCCTCGGCAAAACCCGCTCTCCACCTACGCCTTGCTGTTGTACTTCCTTTAGGCCCAAAACATGCTGAGGCTCGGTTTGCTGATTCCTGTTTCCGTCGACCTGCTGCATGACGATGCGTTGCTGCGCAATAGGAATGAATTCGGGTGCGTCAGGCTTCCACTCACCCCTTCGGAACGGTTTCTTGCCTTGCAAACTGATATCTGAGGAATGACCGACAGACTGAATATGTTGCACTTCACCTTGGTCTACGTGCTGGGCTTTGCGGTTGATAAGCTTGTGACGCAGCTTGGCAATGCGCAAAGCTGGTATTTCATCTCCAAGGCTTTGTTCATGATCATTCCCAACAATATCATTCGTATCTTCTGCTTGAACCTCCTCTTCAATACCTTGTAGAGCCGAATGTGGTTGCAATCGTCTGCTCGAAACTGCTCCCATTGGTGGTCTCTTTCTAGGCTGACGTGTCCAAAGATTATTCTGTGAGGGATCGCTTTCTTGCGTAGTTGCACCATAATTCATCCCTTCGCCTTGTCTGTTATGTACGGCGTCACGACAAACATGGCCATCCGGGATCAGTGAAGCAGTTGCTTCTGGATCGGACTCGCAGTGGCAGGGTACTGTCCAAGATCCAATGACGACGCAGAGAAGCAGCACAAGGCTTACAAAACGAATTGCACGAATGGATATAAGAACGATGGCCATTGTTTCCCCTACTTGCGTGGGATAAACAGACGATGCAAGCAGAAACAGCTCCGGGACCAAATATAGAAGAGAACAACCTCCGAGGGAGATGCTCGGGACTCCTCTTGGCTTCAAATAAACCAGCAGTAAGATATACCAGAAGATCACTGAGCCTAACAGATATACCTAGGATAAGATATCGCGTTAGTCCGGCAGGATATCTCCATGGATGCATTCAGAAAGGTTCTTACGGTGCCTTCGACCCAGGTGATTACAGTTCGCAGGGAAGGAACGATTGAAACGCAGGATAATTCCCAGGCCTGGCGGGTCAGCATTCCATAATGAGATTTCAGAAGCTCTGACTGAAGAGAGAGACTGCCTTACATAGGTCAAGGTGATCACTCCAATGAGGAATTCCGTGAATACATAGAGAAGCCTACACCTTGTCTCGTTCAGATAGCCTCGAGGGCGCGAGGCGAAGATCCCAGTCTTCGCAGACAGGATGTAGAACATGCCCGCAGCCAACGGCAGTGAGCAAAGGATCCCCGCAACTGCCTGAGGGCTGAGGTTTCCGAGGCGATAAATTGAGGAGGCCATATTGAAGGGCTGGGCGAGCAGGCAGAGAGGTTGAATGTGACAAACGTGGGACAGCGGTTGTAAGATCTGCTCGTAAGAGCTGATATAGATTGGTGAGGACGAGGAAGAAGGATACGCGAAGTAGCTCAGTCAAAGACGCCTTCCATTTTAGGATGAGGAGTGACGCTTTCCCAGAGAGGAAAGGACTATAGGTCAAAGTAGCCTTCACCATCAGAAGAGTAAGGCATCGATGGAACATTTCTATGAGCATTCAAACGACGAGGGACCGAAAAGTGGCATGGTCATTAGAGCAACATTTATTGAGGAACATCGCCGTTTAGTTCGTGGTTCGTTCAAATGTAGGCTAATCAGCAGCTATGCCTTTTCCCAAGAAATAGTCACGTACATAAGCCCACGACTTATAAGTTGGGAAAAGGGGAACATGGCACGCTCGAAGCTTAAGATGAAGAAACATGACAGGACTTCATGTGAGGAACATGCTCCAATAAGGTCGACTATCAAGAAAATATGCCTGGTAAAAGCTCAGCCAAACCGTTGTTTAGCCAATGTTTTGAGCCATCCAATGGTCTCCTCTTCCTTCTTCCGATATTGTTGAAGTCGCTCTTCCCGCTCCGCTGCTCGAGCTCGGAGTATCTCTTCCCTTCTGATTTCACGCTCGTTCTTTTTTCGTTGCTCCCCAGCCTGTGCCTTTTTTATGGCATCTAGATCGTTCTCGGCGGAGCCCATCAGTTCGTCGTCTGGTGCTGCTTCTATGGGTGAGCCACCTCGCCGAGATTCAGCGAAGGCACGGTTCGCAGCGGCCGCTTCTCGACGCTTCTCCATACGCCTTTCATGTGTTCCAGGCTCCGCGCGGGGTGCAATCTCATCCTCTATTTGCCGCATCTCAGACTTGTGGGAACGTGACTCTGCACGGAGCTGTTTTCTTGCGTCCTGGCGAGCCGCGATGGCATCCTCTACGGCGGACTCTGCCCAACACATAGTGTTAGCATCATAAAAGGTAATGGTAGCGGGGTGTGCGCACCTTTTCGTAACTCCAAGTCCTGTATTGTCGGGATTCTTGGTCCAGCGGACGGGCCATCTCGACCCCTGGCTGTCACCCCATGATGAGGAAGTATGGGACCATACTCTTCCTCATCCTCGGAATCAAATTCCCGTTCGTTCTGCCTGGCCGTCGCCTCTGACGCATCGCCAGTGTTCGCATCTTTCCCTCGGCCACCTTGTTCATAATCTGCTGAATCACGACGTTGTCCATGGCCGGATACTGGGGGTTGTTCTGGGGCATTACGACGGGCTTTCTCCAGTGTGCTATGGTCATACCACCCTTCGGCGAGCTCTCCACGGTTCCTATAATGTCAATCACTAAGTTCTGATTTTCCGGCTGTCAAGATGTAGTCCATCGCAAGCGAACAGTTGCGCTTGCGGAACATTGCAGAGAATCTGTAGTCGCTCGAGGCAACGGGGTCCTTACCATTTTCGAATAAAGCTCTTCCATCTACCCTTGATCTCCTCTTCGCTCAAATCTTCCATTATCAGTCCCTTCTGGATATCGAGATACATGGCGAACATGGGTGCGTAATGGGTCAGATCCCGTTTCGAAAGCTCTCGCGCTTGGAAGGGAAGCGCTACAGGCACCGAAGAGGTTGATTGCAAATGCCGATCGCGATCATGACTGTATTCTCGGTGACGGTGATGACTATGACGGTGCCGATGGTGATGATGTCTTTTGTTTCTGTCACTTCGGTCTGGTGAGCGCGAGCGCGAGCGCGAATCGTGATCTCGGCGGGACCTGTCCCTATGGCGATGATCGCGGGTAGACATTGAGTGGATTTCCTTAGGTGGTGATGGTATCCGTTTTCACGGTTGTCAAGGAAAGCGACAATTAATATATATGAAATTCGGGCGACAATTGGAAGAGAAGCGGCCAGAAGCTGCGGATCACATGCCAAGCTTTTCTGGGGCAAGAGGACATGATTTCCCGAGTATGAGGTCAGAGCCATAAATATCGCCAATACTTTCTTATCTACTCATTTTCTTCTAGTAGCCTTCTATCCATTCAACGCTTAAAGGTTGTTTGTTGGGATTTTTCAGGATATAAGCACGAAGACATGCAAATATTCCGTTCCTCTTCGTTTCCCCATTGACAATACGCACATGGTACTACCTAAGAATCCAGTACTCTTATTGTAAATACATCTAAGAAATAGAGGGCAGTGGCTCTTATTACCATATACAGGGATAAATGAAAGGGTATTTAGATCGTCAGCGCATGCACAACCTCGGTAAGGTCAATCAACTGGCTGGAGTGCTCTGTTGCTCCTTACTGTCAGAAGAGTTGTCTCCTGCGGGTGTCGTCGTTGATTGAGTAGTGGTCTTCGAGCGGTTGGCAGCAGCCATCTGCCAGGCAGGAATGGAGGCGCCTCGGCCAAACTGCGCAAGAGGGCTACTAGCCGCGGCGCCGGTGGTCGTGCCGGCGCCTGGCTGTGCTGGGGAGGGCTGTGATTCTTGTGTAGTAGGAGTAGCCGTAACGCCGTTGGTAGCAGCGGGAGTGGTAGCCGGCGACGCCTCCTCCGAAGGCCGAGCAACGCTGGGCAGAGTTGATGCGCTGATAGTCCTTCCGGCAACAGGGGCGCTGGATGCGCCGCTGCCACTGAGTCTGTTACCAAGCAAAGTCTTCAAGCTCTTCAATTCAGTGCCAAGCTCCTTCAACCGGGTTTCGTTTCCTTCCCGAGCGCCCTCAAGAGCCTTGGGGATGGCGTCCTTCAATGAGTTAACCTCATCGCTGATGCGGCGGGTTTCGTCATCCCGTCGGCGAGAAGCGGTCTTCAGATCGGCCACCAGGGTTTCAACTTCCCGGAGCGCTGCATCCAGCCGTTCTGTGCGCGCTTCTTCCGCTGACTTCAATGCCGCAGTATCTGTCGAAAGTTGCTCAATTAGAGCAAAAGCGCGAGAAAACTGCTCATCAATATGCTCCTTGTCTTGTTCTAATTGGGGTGGTGTAGGAGGGGCGATTAATGGCGCAATGTACCGCTTGAGCGCCACTTGTTAGTACCACCGCAAAACAAGTAAAGTCGAGCGGACTGCGGCACCGATGTACTAACCTTTGTGACAGTGTATAACCCATATCCCACACCTCCAACTACTGTAGCCATGATAAACCAATCCCGCCAGTCCCTCTTGGGGGGTCTACCAGTTCACAAATTAGATTTCAAGCTCTATATCTAAATACCATGGGCTGATGGTAATGCACTTACTCTGGAGGGGCCTGCCATTGGCCATAAGGAGGGTAGCCATACCCTGGTGGTGGTGGAGGGGGGGAACGGTAGACAGCGTTTTGAGTAGAAGGTTGATAGCCTTGCGTTGAGGCGACAGCAGAGGCAGCAGCGGACGAGTCTTCACCGGCGCGGGATAAAGCGAGATCGATCTCTTCCTGTGTAAGGTTCTTTGATTGAAGGAATGCGACTCTCTTCTCAAGGGGCGAAGAAGCTACAGAAGGATCGTGTAGAACTGTTTAGGTGTTAGGCTTCACGTCCAACATCCAAATTGGAATGGCATCGAGGTAGAGCACACGCACAGGAAACCTATTCAAGAACAACGGTCAGCTCCGGCTCCGATAGCAGCATCATACACGCGAGGAGGATACATACAGCAGAGGAGACAAGCTCCTCGCGAGGAGCCATGATGATATAGTAACACCGGCTTCAATCAAGATAGCCGTGTTCAAATGATTTCAAAGGGTAGAGAGGCCGAGAAGAGAAGTTGGTTGAAGAATTAGAGAAGACGGATGTGGGAAATGATCACGGCCACAGATGCTCATCGGCACCGGACGACGCCTCCACTGTTCACCTGGACCTCGGAACTTGCGCTGCTTACGGTAATTACCGCCAATGATACAACCACCAGCGGAGGTTCCCCAGATCTCGTGATTGTCGCCGCAGGAAGAACTTTTGTTCCGGGACAACTCACCGCCTGCTGTATTGAGCGACATTAGGAGGCATGTGCTTGTTTACATCTTTCGGTCGCTGTTTTGTACGTCGTGGGCAACGCTTCAAACTCCCGTCCTTATCATTTCATGTGAGGGGAAGTCGACTGTCTCATATTTTGCTGCATCCACAACTCATTTTTCTTGGCTTTTTTGTATCCTTGGATCCTCTGCCATTTGGGGGCATTTCTCCTCCGAACGTTCGCTTTAACCGCTAGTTCATTGCCGCAGTCGCGGCTTCCTTTATCATGTCGCAGGATACGGGATTGTTCAGTATCAGGCGCCCTCGAGAAGTATGCGCAGCCGTGCCTGTTCCTCGATGTCCTTGAGGCATCGTATCATTCAATGCGCTGTGACTGATTGCGACTAACATACTCTTGATACAGACTTTGGGGAGCGTTCAAAATTATTCGGCCCTACCGCAACCCTCATCGGCCCTGAAGCGAACGAGCTCCGTTGGGTATCAGAATCCTCCCTTTACCTCACAACACACGCGCTCGATGTCGCTACTAAACTCTGCAAGTCGCCCTCAACAACCGAATTTCCAGCGCTCTTCATCCGGCGGGGCGTTTGGTGCCGATGCTGGACTTTCGTCAGTCAGGCGATCCGTATCCAGCAACATTTTTCACGGCGCCAGTGTTGGTCGCCCAAGTTATGCGCCAGGCTCACTATCCGCCAGCTCTGCATCGCAGAGTCTACAAAGGAGAAGCAGCGTCTTTTCGCGGCCATCCATGGGAGGGCCAATGGGACATCAGTCCTTCTTCACCCAAGTGCCCAATGCCGCCGGCGTTCCTCGGGATCCACGACCTCTTAGGGATAGATCATTCCAGGCTAGAATTGGACAGGAGCTCCTTGAATACCTGACGCACAATAACTTTGAGCTGGAGATGAAACATTCTCTGGGTCAGAACACACTCCGATCGCCAACCCAGAAGGACTTCAACTACATCTTTCAGTTTCTGTACCATCGCATCGACCCAGGGTATCGGTTTCAGAAGAGCATGGATGCAGAGGTCCCGCC